TATTTTACCCATTTCTGCCTGGGAAGCATTGACCACAGTGTAATGAAAATTAAAGAAATTAAACAATGGAAAGCATCTCTCCTAATGCGTAGTGCATCATGAAAGTCAGATCCTGTTAAGCCTTGACTGCTGAAGTAATCCTTATTCATGCAAAAACTCAAAATTAATTAATCAGGGAAAAATGCTGTATTAGCCTAAAATTGAACACCAGCTGAACGCAAATGTCTTCTTCACACGAGGTCAGTGTTATTCAATAGACTGGATCCTTCAGGACAATCCATTAACTTTCTGAAGAATATGCAATGCTTTAAAACACCAAGACTCTTTAGCAAGAAACTGAAGCATCAGTACAGAGCAGCTGAGCTAAATTGGTGTTTACTGAACACCAATTCCTTCCTTCCCTGCCCGGAAAAAAAACCAAAAACCAAACCCGCAACACAAGCCGTAAAAATTGCTCAAAAAGCCTTTCTTCAAGGGCAAACCATTTCTTGTATATAGGTCACCATTTGACTTCTTCAGAGGAAAAAAACAACCATATGGGCAGCAGCGGCTGTGTTTTAATGTAAGGAATGGATTTCACTTTGTGCTGGAAATGTTTGCACAGCATCCTCAAAAAACAAAATCCCCAAACCCCAAAAGAACGTGGGAAACAAGAAAACATGCTGCAGTGAGGCATGTGAGACGGAGCACAATCAAATTACAGGAGGTAGCATTTTCTAGTGGTTCGAATCACAAGGCATTGCTTCTATTCTGGGACGTACCTGGCTTACCACTTGACCTTGAGTAATAAATGACATGCACTCTCTGGGCATCCCTTTTTTTATTTGTAAAAAAGATGCATGGTCGGGTCTGGAAATGTACTAATTAAGATAATTCTGTATTAGGATGGGAACATTTATCAAAGGACCCAAATTTTGCTCAAGCATAAGTACATACAGACTAGAAATCATTATAATTTTCCTCATTAAGGAGCAAAATATTTTAATTAAAAGTTCTAATTGTTGTTAAAACAAAAAATAAAAATGGGTTTTAGCAATACTTAACAGTTTAGAGTCTTTCTTGCACTATATATTTAAAATTACAATGTGGTGACAGAATAAATAACACTGTGGAAGGATGTTAGCTTACCGATTAAAACATCACCAAGGGGACAGAGAATATGTTTTACTGGTAAAATAAACCCCTCTATCATTGTAGTTAGCCCACCTGCTAAATGCATTCCACAAGTGTATATGTGCGCTCATCTGTGGGGCTGTTTAACTCTTTACGCTGCATAAAGGATGATTTTTCCAGAAGCAAACAAGCAGAGAAGAGAGCTTTTCCCTTCCTCACAGTGTCAGAGGTGATTGCACCTACTCTCCAAACTGTTCAGCAATTGCTCTCAAGGACATAAGACATGGATGAAGGAATTAAATGAAGCAGCAGAGGCCAGGGTGCCTCCTTATTCAGCTGGTATGTCACAACATCACCATTAAGCACCCCATATGGGCACTAGACATGCTCCCCCAATGCAAACTGAACTAATAGGTATGGCTTATTCCTCTGTGGGGAACCATCTCCTCAGGTTGACACTGCTGCACTCTGCATATAGGATGGTGATACATCTACAAACTTGCCTCTCATATAAAATGCTGTCAGAATGGAAAGTTTGGTTATGTTATGGTTACAAACAACATAACCATGGTTATAATTTTCAGACAATCATAGAACCAAAGAACTGTTTGGGTTGGTAGCGACCTTAAAGGTCATCTCGTTCCAGCCCCCTGCCATAGGCAGGCACACCTTCCACTAGATCAGGTTGCTGAAAGCCCCATCTAACCTGGCATAGGTTACAATACAAATAAATAAATACAAATGCAAATACATAAAAATAAAATAGAAATAAAATACAGTCCTATACAAAGAAACAGCACCTATGGTATGCTACTTTAAACACTTAGTGCTGTAAGAAATTTTGTTTAAGGGAATCAAAACATTCAGCGGTTCCATGGACTCTGACTGCAGTTACTGGTATTGGATGGGGCAGAGGCGCTTGTTTTTACATCATTTACTTGTAATAGTTGCTTCTTCTCCCAGAAGGAAAGAAAGCCAGAAGCATGTGAACTTGCAAATCAGGGATTAACAGAGGAAACACAGATTGGACCTGACAAGAGGACAGGAACAAAAATGTAACAAATGCCTGCTCAGATACTGCAGTGACCACATAGTAACAAACACCAAAGCAAACAGAATCAGTTGCATTAATTATTATGCTGTAGCCAGTGGAAGCTCTGAATTGTCAGCACTGACAATCACAATATCCTAGGGTAAAGTCCCGGCTGAAACCGCCAGCACGTCGACCCATAATCACATCTCATGCTTCTAGAAAAAACCCAACCCAGCTCTTATTCATGAAAAGCACCACGATATATGGCCAGCTTTCCAGAAGACTACCAGATTCTGTATGCTGAGGTTAGTAAAACCAAATGCTTCTCAAAATCTGTATTCTTGCAAATTAAAGCATAGCACTACTTATTATTATGAGATCTCTTATTCTGTTTTACCCAACAGTATTCCTTTTCTCACCCACTTCATTTTACAGAAATTATTCTTGAAAAGCCCGGGGTGGCTCCTGCCAAGTAGTTCACCATCTGGCAACCAAGAGCTGATGCTCTCAGCACTCCCCGGGAAGCGACCTGGAGAGGGATGGAGAGGGATGCAGCGCCCTGCGCCCTGTCCGACTCAGCGGGACCGCGTCCCGCACCCCTCGCTCCCTCTTGCAAAAGATGCAGTTTTTATTTCAGGGTAGGAGCGCTGCTGCTAGAGAAAGCTCCCCCACCCGGGGCTCTTCCTGAAGCCTGCCCCCAAAGTGCAAGCTGGAAAAGGCGCTTTTCTGCTGGTGTTGATGTTGAAAGCACCGGCACAGGTGGATTCCCCTTTACCGCGGAGCAGAGGTGAGATCATCCCGGCGGCAACGCGGGGCGGGCCGCCGGCGTCCCAGCTCCTAGGATCTACCGACAGCCCCGACGGCGAGGCCGGTCCCTCCGGGGGGGGGGGGGGGGGCGTCGCGCCCCGCGCCCTTACCTCCATGCCCAGCCGCTGCTTCAGCACCAAGGCGGCGCACAAGTACCCGGCGCGGCCGACGAAGAGCTCGTCCGAGCCGCACTCGAGGAAGGAGAGCGGAGCGCAGACCTCGCTGAGCTCCCGAAACTTGCCCAGCGGCCGGGCGAAGTCGGGCAGCCCCAGAGCTCTGTAGACCAGTGCCGCCACCGCGTACACCCCGGCGCCCCCCAGCAGGAAGGCGGCGCGGGTGTCAGCGTCGGCCTCGCCGCTGCCCTCCTGGTAGCGCAGGCAGGCGTCCACTACGCGGCGAGCCGCCCGCAGGTAGGCCTCCCGCGACGGCGCGAACAGAGGGCACTGCGCGACGTGGTACAGCATGTAGGCCACGCCGGCCACGCCGCCGTACAGCCCGCCCTGGCAGCCGCGGGGGCCGCCCAGGGGCGGCAGCTCCCGCAGGATCCGTTCGATGGTGGCCGTCACTAGCGGCACCGCCGCCGCCTCCTTGTCCGGCGCCGCCTCCGGGCTGCCCGGGTAGTCATCGAAGCGGTTGGCGAAGCAGCGCTGACTCTCCATAACCCCGCCGGCGCGGCGCTCTGCGCAGCGGGGAGCCGCGGGAGGGAGGCGAGGAAGGAGCCAGCGAGCGGGGAGCTGCCGGAGGAGGGGGCGGGGGAGCGGGGCGGAGGGAGCGCGGCGGGAGAGGCGGGAGGGAGCGGGAAGGCGGGAAACGAGCGCCCCGCCAGCGGTGCCCGTGAGGGGCGGTGGGAGGGACGGAGCTGCCGAGCCTCAAGGAACGGAGGTGGGGGGAGGCTGGTGGATGCCCCGCGGTGGTGCCGGGGACAGGTCTGCCACAGCGCAGCCGCTGCCTCTCTTCCACCCCGGGGCGGAGCAGAGCGGAGCGGCCGCCGCTGCCGCCTCAGTGCCCCACCTGCCCTCAGCGAGCGCCGCTGAAGTGTGGAGGCACTGGTGGGGCTGATCAGGGCTTCCAGACGACCAAGCCGGGGGAGGCCGGCCCGGTTCTGACTCGTCCTGCCAGGGGTTCCTCCTTCCCGCATTGAAGGCGCTGCAGCGCCTTCGCCCGACCCGTCTGAAGATCCCTCAGGCAAAGGGGTTTATTGGGGTTTTCATAGTCCCCCGCCATGGAAGATTTGGGTCAGGGTTGAGTGCAGGGCCTACAGGTGAGAGCCAGGGCTAAGAGGAGTGGCCAGAGGTCTGCTGAGTTATTCCTGGCCGTGGAACAGCCCCTCGAGGGATGATGCTATGGCCAAATATGAAGGATGATGTAGACAAATCCAAACGAGGGCAGCCTGAGGCCAGTTTACATGGAAAGCTAGCAAGTCCTCAAAAGACCAGCAATGGAACCAGTCCACTTTTGGCCACTTTCTGTCATGCGGAAGCCAAGCAGAGCCTGTGAGGAGCAGAAAATGTAGGCCACTGAATAAATTCCCACTTAAAAAAAAAAAGGAAAACAAACAAAAAAGGACAATCTTGAAGCAGATACTAAGAGCATCACTTACATGATACAAATAAACAGTAGTCAAATCTTCCCCTTACGATGTGAACTTGTGCAGTGTAGGTGGATTTATCAGAGATGCTTGACTTGTGGTCACCTGGTGGTCTCTGGTACTTTCTCTGGAGATACAGCCTCCATGAACAAGGGCCTTCACAAAGGAAAGTGGGAGCTGCTTGCTGGAGGCTGCAGCTGGTAGCCAGCAGTTGGCCCAGCAGCAAAGCAAGAGCCAAAGCTCTGTCCTTTGGACATGGAAGGACCTTTCTAAAGTTGTGGCTGGCTTCTCTCTGCTTTGTGCTGGCTGCTTGTTTCAGCCCTCTTCCTGCCTCTTCCTCAAGTACCTTCAACTGTGTGTAGCTCCTCACATGCATGTTCACACCCACTTTTTTTTCAATTCACCTGTTCTTTTTCTTTCCTTCTTTTTTTTTTGGGGGGGGGGGTTGATACACTCAGACATTTGCTTCCACCCTGTTTTTGCTTTCTACACTTTCCTTGAGTGCATTTTGCCATGTTTATGTACATTCCAGATACCACCCGCTAGTCTGTGTTTGTACAGTTTTCCTTAAAGCCCCATTTTTCTGGCTTGCTCACAACTCTACCATATGTGGTTTCTACCACACATATCTTGGCAATCTAGAGCACTGAAAATGTGAAAATGCCCTACCAGTGGATAGGACATCTAATTCATACATTATTTTCTGTCATAAGCTGGCTTTTTGTCAGCCCATTGATAAGATTCAGGGTGTAGCTAAGGATTTTCCAGCATAATTTCTGATGGTTGTAGAGAACTGCTTTTTTAAGTAAAAATTTGGAAGTTTTATTTTTCATGCAGACACTATTCCATATTCTCCATCTTTCCAATCTTTTTTTTTTTTTTTTCAAATTAAAAGGTCAGGCATTTTCCTGCAGTCTTCTGGAATGGGAGTTGACTTGGACATGGTCTTCCCATTGCTATAAAGGAACTTTCTTACTGGAGGCACTTGTCTCCCTGCACTGAAAGTAGCTGAGTGAGTAACCTTGGTGCAGGCACCTGTTGTAGAGAACTTCGTAAGGCGAAATGGATCTCTGCCAGTTTCAGCAGCAGTGGATTTAAGAAAAATACAGGCTTTGTAAGAAAATCAGTTGGGTTAGCAGCACTCTTCTGTATGAGGGTCAAATATGACTGCTACAGTATTTTTCAAAAGGGAGCCAGTAATGACATACTGAAAAGGGTCACCTGTGCAATGGACAGGACTCCTTTGGCAAAAGGAGTGCTTAGCTACTGTAGGGTTAGCAGATGTCATACAGCAATTAGGCAAGAAATGAGCATGACAGTTTCTGCTTTACTTTTGTATAAAGGTATTAAACCACTGAAACAAAAGGGAGAGCTGCATTAAAATTACATGTGTGGTTTTTTATAGCTGTAAAAAAAAGTCTCAAACTGTTCGTTTTTTCATGTCCAAAAGTTTCATACTTTTAGACAGGATGTGTTCTGTATCTTTTTCACTCAACCAAGCACAGATGCAGTCCTGATGCAAAAGGAAGAGAAGCAGGGGTGATTCTCAGATGTAGATCATGTGTCCCTCATCAGATCATGCTTTGAGGTATGCCCTTGTCTTGAGTCCCAGAGTAAGAGTGGGCCTCCAGTGTATGGCTTCAGGTTGACAAAAATGTGAATTCCTTCCTCTCACCTCTCTGCAGCACTGCAGCTCCCTGATCTCCCTGGTCTGTGCAACTTGGGCATGCCATGCCTCCTGTTTGTCTCAGTAAATCAGATGCAGCAAGCCAAGGAGTGGGAAACAAATCATGGTTTATACAAGAAAAGGGTATGTTACTGGCATGGTGGGTGGAGGTAATGGTGGAGGAGGGAACTGAAGCCTCAAAGCTGTTTCTTCTGTTCTAGTAAATCCATCATTATAGAACACATATTCTGAAGGTAGGCTTGTTGCATACTGATAACATGTAGAACCATGCAGTAATTCAGGTTAGGAGGTGCCTTAGGAGAACATTGAGTCCAGCCTATGCTCAAAGTAGAGCTAACTACTGGTTACTTGTTCATGCATGCTTGTTCACTTGTTTATTGCATATTCCTTGCCACCTGATATTTCCAACAAAACAGTAGTTTGCCCTTGGTTGTAGTGTAGGGAGTTGAAGAATCTTTAAAAAATGTCTTATGAGTTAGTCTAGCATTTATCTTGTATAGTTATTATCAATGTAAAAAAAATCTGTATTCCTTTAGGAGTTGTGGATACCCACATGGTTGCCAGTTTTGCTGTTAGCCAGTGTTCCACATCTCTCCTGAGCTGAAGGTGAAATGCTGGGCTCCAGTACACAGGCTGAGCTTCAGTAACAGAAGTGTATTTATAGTATGAACACATTAATAGGGTTGTGCTAGACAGTCTTCAGGCTGGTTTGAGCACACAGGCTATTAAGTCCAAAATTAGTTCCCACCTTACATATTATAATCAACCATCACTACCCAGTGCTGTTCTCTCCCTAGAGAGCTTTCCTACTGCAGGTCAGCTTTACAGCTGGCTCCTCTTGCTACTGCTTTGGGCTTTGTCCTGGGAATCCACACTCAACTCTATCCCTGCCCTGTCATCAGTTCGTGTTTGGCAGGCAGCTGGCCCTTTGGCATTTGAGAGAAGGGAATGAATTAGGCAGAGGTATTTCATGTCTGCATTAGAAAAGATTGTATTCCCTGTATGCCTTTCTTGTACCTTCCCTGCCATGGGTTCTTGAAGGAGAAATTATCACTGTGCACTACAGAGATCATACTAGTTGCCCAAATATCTCAGGTTGAGTTGTCTTGTTCTGTATGGACTCCACTTACAAAGCTACACAAAAGCTTTTGTAGTTTTTGTTCCATGACGATCAGTTGACAGTGAAATGAGGACCTATTTTGAAAATGAAGTGATTCCTGGCATTGCACAATGGAATCTCTCTTCCTAAGTCAACCTTTTATTCTATTGCTTATGTACAGTTGATAATACAAACACAATTCTGTGTGACAGAAGTGATGTAAGTTTTAGTGCATGTATTGCCATTTAATCACAAGGAAAATTACACGTCAGAAGATAAAGCAAGTCATTTCACAAAGATTATGTTAAATATGGTGTCAGATATTTAAATTACCCTACTTCGTTTGAATTCTAGTAGGCATACAGTGATTGCTGTTGTGCTTTTATGCCTGAGACCTACACTCTGAGACTTGTATGTATTTGTTATTAATAAAGCTGGGCCACAAGCAGTAGAACTAATACTAATAAGGTGTGGTGCCTGACTGATTGTTTTCTGCTTTCCATTGCCACCATCTTATTCCCAGGTCTGTCACCTTGGTAATTTCTCACCTTGGTCGCTGCATCCCAGCCACACGTGTGCCACAAATGGCTGGGGTGACTTGGCAGGTACCTGCAGCTGGTGAGTGGAGTTGGATTACATCTGGCCCATTGCAATGCACTGAATCACTTCTTGCTCCAAGGGCACACTGAATTTCTGCCCACTGCTCAGTTTCATGAAACTTAGGAATTGAACAGGAGTTTAATTCCTTTGAGACTCTGCCTTTATTACCAAATTTGGTTGAAATATTCCAACAGATGCAAAGTTATGAGGATAGTGAGAAATGCTGATTAGGTGCCTGGACAGCCACATGTGGTCATGCAAGCCTTGCTTCCTAAAGAAACAAGGCTAGAACATTTTCAGGTTGTGTTTAGTTTGGTTTGTTGTTTGTTTTTTTTTGTGAGAATATACAGTGACCAACTTAAGGGTTGTTGTAACAAGATACTGAAAGTGTGGGTAGAGGTACTCAGTGCTTACAGAATTGATTCTACTTACCCAATATCACATTTTCCATTTGGAGAAGTGGGCTAATTTTGGTAAGGGTTTTAGCTTTCAGCAGATAAAAACATAGCAGCTGTTATGAAGTCTCTGAAGAGAGTATTGCATTTTTCAGTATCTCTATGTAGACTTATTTGCAATGGGTGAATCACCATTCAGCTGTTAACAAATGACAGGGCTTTCTGCAGAACAGGAGGTTTGAAATTCTGAGTTTTGGCTTAATGGTAAAAAATCTAACTTCAAAATAGTGTTATCCTGACCCTATCCTGAGCTTTTTCCATAGGTACTGTTATTCATCGTGCGCCTTTCCTTGGCTTGAACCTATAAAGACTAAGAGGATGGTGAAGCTCTTTTCTGCAGACATATCTGTCACAATCCACAGTTTCTTTGTCCAGCAAATTATGTCCTGGTTCTGACATTGTCTAACTGAATAAGGAAGGAAAAAAACCAGTCTGCATTCAACTGTTAATATTAAAACAAAATAGCTATTTTTGTCTTACTGATTAGTCTGCCAGTACAACATATATTGTAAAGTCTAAATTTCCGTAAGTGCATTTTCTCTACAATTGATGTCAGTGTGATATCCAGGATTTTAATTGTAATGTTTTTGTCAGAACCGGAATTTGGATGCACTTCAAAGTACAGAAACAAAAATCAATATCTGAAATCAAGTAGTGTTTTAACCTGAAAGCAGCTAACATTTTTATCCATGATGTTTTACTTGAAGTTTCTTCTGTGTGCATTTTGCCTTTGTGCTGGCTCATCTCAGTAATTGCTGTGATGGAAATGTTAGACTTTTATTAACGAATCGTGCTTCTGCCAGCCAGGGCAGGGACCTCATCCAGTGGGCCTGCAGGTGGTGAAGAAAGCTGGGGAAAGTGACTGGACCCAATACAGCCCTAAATCGGGCACAGGCACTGTGTAATAATGTATGTTGTTGGAATTTCAGGCTGTAATATTGAGTCTGATAAGAAAATGCCCTGGGGCCCTAAATGCAGGTACTGATTATAATGATGATAATGGGTTTGTGTCCTTGAAGAAAGAGAGCACCTCCAGAAACAAGTTAATGTTTAATGATATGCTAGGCAGCTAGATATATGCTAATGTGGATGGAAGATTTCCAAGTTCTGAATCATCAAAACTAGTGCAGCATTTGACCTTTTGTAAAATTTCCATCTTGGCCATTTGTATTGACCTGGTCTAAATTTCTTACCTTGCCATATCTGAGACATTTACAGGGGCAGGTGATATGCTGTGTGTTACAAGATAGGTGCACACGCATAGAAATACAATATTGTCCAGGAACAAAACCTTTTCCAGGTAGTTTATTGTAGTTGGTTGGCTTGTTTATTTGGGGGGAATTGTTTGTTGTTTGTTTTTTTTTTTTGTTTGGTTGTTGTTTAATGTTTGGGTGGTTTTTGTTTAGTTTTATTTTTGGTTGGTTGGTTGGGGTTTGTGGTGGTTTTTGGGATATTTTTTTATTTACTTTGGGGGAGGGGTTGTGGGAGCTTTTTGTTAAACTAGCAAAACCATAAGACAAGGCTGGGTTTACAGAAATGAGACAATTTCTGAGAACTTCCTATCCCACCTATTTTCAGCACAATCTAAGGAGTAAAGTACCCTAGGTTAGAGAACACCGAGTCATGCAAAATTGCACAGTCCAACTTTGTGCAAGTAAGAGCAGCCTGGTCTAGATGGTTTTGTGAATCTGCAGAATACTGACCTCTCTATGGGATGCTGATGAATTATCCCTTACAACTGCAGACCTAGGAAAACACAGAACAACCTGACTTTGCATGTATAGTTGTCCACTCAAAAAAAGAACAGATGGCTTAATTTAAGACTTCGAAAATTAATGAAGTTGATACTCAGCAAAACTGCAGTCTCCTCATAATTTTTTTTGACTGCACATTTTAAAGCACAGTTCTCAATATGGAGAGGATGAAAGAATGGCTGAGGTTGGAAGAGATCTCTGGAGATCATCTGGTCCAACCCCACTGCTCACGCAGGGCTCCCTAGAGCTGGTTGCCCAGGACTATCTCCAGGCAGCTTTTGAATATCTGAGCATGGAGACTCCAAAACTTCACTGGGCAGCCTGTGCCAGTGGTCAGTCACCCTAACAGTCAAAAAGTGTTTCCAGATGTTCAGACAGAACCTCCTGTGTTCCTGTGTGCCCTTTGTCTCTTTGCCTCTCACTGGGCACCTCTCAGAAGGTCCTCACTTCATCTTCTGTGCACCCTCCCTTCAGGTATTTCTATACACTGATGAGATCCTTCCCTGAGCCTTCTTTTCTCCAGGCCAGGCAATACGGGCTCTCTCAGACTTTCCTCATATGAGAGATACTCCAGTCCCTTATAATCTTAGTGAACTTTTAGTGGACTCTCTTCAGTAACTCCTTATCTTGTACTGGGGATCCCAGAACTAGATACTGTACACCAGCAATATCATAGGATAGCAGAATCATAGAACAGTTAGGGTTAGAAAGGACCTTAAGATCATCAAGTTCCAACCCCCCTGCCATGGACAGGGACACCTCACACTAAACCATGTCACACAAGGCTCTGTCCAGCCTGGCCTTGCACACTGCCAGGGACGGAGCATTCACAACTTCCATGGGCAACCCATTCCAGTGCCTCACTACCCTCACAGTAAAGAGCTTCCTCCTTATCTCCAGTCTAAACTTCCCCTGTTTTAGTTTTAACCCGTTACCACTTGTCTATCACTACAGTCCCTAATGACCTAATATTCTTGGTCTACTAAATTTTAATAGTCCATAAAAGTTTGTTTATGTGGATGTTGCAACTGAGCTGAAAATAGGTCTCAGAAGAGAAAATAACTAAGGAGGTCAGAGTTTTTAACTCAGGCATCCTGAAACAATGAGTGGAGCACTTTTTTAAAACACAGTGATAATGTTTTCTTGGAAAAGTGCCAAGAACATTTCAAAATCAGTTTCTGTTCACATTCATTTACAGCTCTTGCACTTAGTACACTGTCTGTCTTCATTTCAGTTCTGTATGTTAGTCTGATGGGATGCATAGAAGCTTTGTTAAACTGTGCTAGATGAAGATCCATCTGTAGCAGTTTATGATATTTTGCTTTTTCAGCATCCAAGGGGAGGTAACAGAAATGTAAAATACTTTATACTCTGTTTAGTTTTTTGTTTGGTTTGTTTTTTTAGCAGGAGTAAGCCTTATTAGTGGTTTGAAGTTATAAATTAAAGTAATATGTAGTATTGTTATTGGACTTTGAACAAAAATATTTTGTTTTATTTTTGCACTCTGAAGTGTGTAAGCTGTGATCCAGGAAATGTTTACACCTGGGGTCTATCTTACATGTCTGAGTGGTCCCTCACTCCTCTCAGCAAATCTGGTTTGCAAGATCATGGTCTAAGATTGTTTTGGAATGCTGTTAAGCGTTTTTGTTTTTCTAGCCTTCAGTTTGCAAATGCTGTTATTAAAAAAAGCTAGAGGATATATAAAAATAATTCACAGCTTAATGAATTATGCAGGGGAGACATTCTAGTTCCCTGTTCATAAGGAAAAATAATCAGGTACTAAGATATAAAATTGGATGGGATGTTACAAAATTAGGCTGTGATTCAATAAGCTGTACAGGTCAGAATTGCTCACGTACTTGATATAAAGTCTGTGCTTGAGTGGATCATATACTGCTCTGGCACAGGATTTGCCCCTTCCAGCTTTCTGTGAGCTGAGATTTCAGTGAAGTAGGCAGAAATAAGTCTGTTTAAAGGGCATTTTAAACCACTTAAGGCTTCACAAAGTGACACTAGTGAATGACAGAAAAAAAACCACAGCCTTTCCACACTAACATGGTTATTAAAAATTC